AACAAAGTTAATAGAAATTTAATTTTAAAGTAATATTTTAAGTTAATTACTTCTACTTGTTTTTCTCTTGACAACCTATCTATCTTAAAATAATTTAGCCTTATATAACTTATGAAGACACATAACTACTAACTTCCTTTTTCCTTTACTGATATGTTTACCCAATAACATTAGCATATAGCTACATATAATATTTAAGGTACAGCAATCCATTAAAAGTGCCCAGGTTAAAAACAGAAATAGCCAGTTGAAATAAAATACTGTGGCAAATGATCAGTATATATCCACTAAATAAAAGAGTTATCAAAGGTGAAGATGGAGAAGTGATCTGAAAGGAAAGCACATGATTAATCTTTATACATTGAGACTATGTTAATAGTAATAGAATTTTAAAAAACATTTTAGAGTAGAACCACCTTGGAACAATTTCATTAATATTCTGAATGAATGAATGAATGAATGAATGAATGGAATGAATGAACACCTGAATGAATCCTGCAGTCATAACAAGGTTTACCACCTTGAGATGCTCACAACAATTTGAAATACACAGAGAAGACGACTTGAATACAAACAAACTAGTTGAAATTCAATGTGGTTCACAGTAAAGATGCAGTGGCTTTCTATTTGTAGAACAAAGAATCTCAACCAAAAACATATATTACAACTAAAATGTTCTCGAGCGCAATCATCTAGGCTTCATAAAGAATATACACTTTTTACCGTGTAATTCTTTCTTGCCCCCTTCCACCCTACTGCATTTTTTGTTTGGCATAAGTGAACAACAAACCAGAATAGAATACACATTTTTAAAAGACCAATTTACTCATATTCTATTTAAAAGCAGCATACAACCACTTATAAATATAGCCTTTTAAAAAAGCATCCTTATATAAAACAGCGGGGGGGGGGAGGTTTGGAAATCCCTGCTATACATATGAAGCACGGTTTAAGCCCAATACAACTGACCAATCAAAATTAGTGAATGCACTGCATCTCTCTGCAGTGGGGAGAAGCGACAAGGTAGGCTGTCATTCTGCAAAAGCTGCCCAGAACAGGCTTTCCTCTGAAAAGCAGTGCCATTCCTTTTTAGAGAGACTGAATCTAAATGTTGTCTCTGGAGACAAGAAGCCTTCAGTATGTTCAATTACTTCATTACGTTTTTCAGATGCTTATTGATTTCACAGTAGGAAGAGTGAGAGACTGCAGCAGCCTCTAAGCAGCACCACACGTTCCATACATTAGCAGTACTGCTGAGACAATGGCACAGTACAGACACATATTTTCATTAAGGTCTTTTCTGAAGAGATGTTTATGACCCTCTTCCCCCAGTCCTCTGCTAACAAGTGAACCAAATGAATCAATCAAAACTGGAAACGCTTCAACTACATCAGGAATATATCAAATCTTTAGCGGAGGTAAGATGTGTTCCCTTATTACAGTGTAAGCTGCTTTTGAACTGGCATAGTGGGGTAAAATTACTTTGAAAAATTTCAACCTAAATTTTAACAGTTTATTTGCTTAATTCTATTTATTGTTAAACATGTATTTTTTAGATCGACTTAAGACATGACATTTTCAGTGTACTTTTTTAAGGATGTAATGTTAAATACCAAAAATTTTCTTTGTTGATTCACTACGAAGACATCAGCTTTAAGTCACTTCAGACCTACTAAATAGTCTTAATGTCATCAGTATAGTTTTTCTCAAGTGCTCAAAAAATGCTTATATTTCTTAAAAGGACCACGTTTACTATTTAGCTATTATTTATTACTCACTTTTAGGTTAAGTTCATTATTGGGCATGTTCACTGAAAATTATTTAATTTGCAGTTACATTTTGCATTACCTTTTACATTTCAACTACACGAACAACTCATCGGTGGAAATTTATAGCATCTAATTGTGGAATCTGTTTTAATCAGTTAATATTCAAACCATGTGCTACTAATTAAGCAAGCTACACTATTTCCCAGCAGGAAATAGTGTTAAATTTATTGTAAAGACAAGAGAGAATGACAGTATGTTTAGTGTATGCTAACTGCTCATAATCTCTGAAAACAGGTTAGCTTCTAAACTGAAGCAGAAAATAGTTTTAAAACTGCTTTCCTTCATGGTTATATTTATGTTACCTCTGTTACTAAATAACATAATATTTGCAATCTCTGTTAAGAAAAGAAAATATTTAAAGAATCCCTTAAATCTATGCATAAGCTGTGGCTCTACTAATACAGTTTACTTATGTTGATAATGAATACTGTGTATGGTGTTAAAGTCAACAAAACTAAAGTAACTTTGCGTTAATTGGAAATTATTAGGAACCCTATTAACCATTTTTTTTCTTTTTCACAAGGGCCCACAGCATCTAATTCAGTATTTACAACTGACAATATGAAGAATGCATCTGATCAAGCATCTCCTAGCTGCCTGAACCATAAACTGCAGGATATTCTTCGAACACATGAATTTAAGGCATTAAGGAGTTAAAACCAGAAAATACAGGTCCACATTACTGCTGGGATATAACACATGGACAGTAGTCATCCTAAGAAGATGCTATATAAAATAGACACAAAAAGAAAAACAATTTAACTGCAAAAGCCTGAAAACAAAATCGTGAGCATTTTTAAAGGGGGAGTTTACACTTTAACATACCAGGATTGTGGAGCTGTTTCCTGAAGAAACAATGAGGCACAGAATGCCAAAAAGAGAATGCCATACATTAACAGCAAGCTAAATAAAGCTTTATCAATTTTCTTCTGCACTAAATATTCAGATATTCGTAGCAGCTGATATTACTAAAGGATTTTTTCATCTAAGTTTTATGACTATGTATCCTCTTCTAATGAAAACAAATCAAATTAAATAGCAGATGGTTTTTATCAAAAGAACATGGACTGGATTTATAATATAAAGCAAGTTATGTGATCAAGAAATCATTTCAAACTAACAAGGACTGCCATAGAAACAGACTTACATTTTTAACAAAAGGATGTCCAAATACATTTTAGAAGCTAGAAACCTTATGTTTTCACATGTTCTGGAAAATAAAGAGAGACTATCATATATTCCCTCAAAGGGAAATATAATTCCTATCATTTGAGGAAGTTTCTCTTGGTCGTGACTTTTTAAGGCAAAACAAACACAAATATTTTGTACTGGTCTTTAGAAATTCATCAGCCAACTAAATCTCACAATTCATGCAGTTTGAAGTACTGGAGAGAAAATGAAAGAATTTCTACAAGACATGAAATAAAACACAGCTACTGTTGTCAGGTAAAAATTCATGTCAAAATCTGTCAATGACATCATGTATCAATTTGTGAAAAACTGCTATAGTGAGCCAAAAGGCCCATAAGGCAACAGCAAACAGGTAGGTCAGAAGATGCATGCACCCCACCACACTGTTTAACATTTACAAAAGAAAACAATCTTGCTCTAGAGATGCATTTTACTTAGTTACCCTCTAACTTGGCACTTCTGTTTTATCTGATTATAAATCTAACTGATGTGACAAAGACCTGATGTTTAATCTGTCAGTTCCGAAAATTTGGCACACTTAAAATTTTCCATTTTTTATAGGATTTCACTGTTAGCTAAGACTTTCACTTGAGTATATGCCTCTGGTAATACCTTATACCAAGCTCAAAAGGAATAATGTTATCTATGTTTCTGAAATATGGCCCCTAAAATAATATGGATAAATAAAATTGTATTCTAAAAGCTGTCAAAGGTTACATAAAGTTAAAGGTTAACATGAATTTTGGAAATTATTATAGCCTTTATAATTTGTTTATTATTTTGCAGTCAAAATGCTGTACTTGAAATGTGAAATATAGTTGGTTGTATGATTTTATATTTTAAGTGAATATACTCATTACTGACATATTAGCCCAGAAAATCAGACATTATTTTTATAAATTATTCTAACCCTCTATACATTATAGATTTACATGAATTGGCAAAAGAGCTTGTTTTTTTAATTTTCCTCAAAATTATACACACCGGGTGATTTATACAAAAGGTTTCACATGGAATGTGTAAACTTTAAAGATTCCTCAGAAAATGGATTTCAGATACTCCTTTTCCAAAATTTCGTATTTTACTTTAAAAATCCTGTTTAAACAAATAAAATTAACTGATACAGTCTTTTAAACAACTCCAAAAATGGTTATTTCTTAACATGATATTAAATTTCAAATTCCTTCTTCCACAATAAATGAGAGGGTGTGGTCACAAAATAAATCACTCATTGGAGTGTTTAGTACTCTTTTACCAAGTTTTGTGGTGTTATACTTTAACATATCCTTTTTCATCCAATTTTTATAACATAAGTTTGTCCATTATAAAGTTCAGTGAGCATTTTCACTACAAAATATGTAATATTTATCATTTGCCTACTTTCTATGGGAAATAGCTCCAAATATCCCCAAGCACACTGTAGACTCTTAAGAATTTCAACCAAGAACATGGACAAATGGTTTTAAACAACTAGTGCTCTGTGCCATTTATCATTTTAAATGAACACTTGTCCTGTTCATTTGAAATCTCACGAGAATAATTACACCTACAGTAATTATGCCAGAACATATTAAGATAGCATTTATTACCCACCTACGCACAACAGTTTAAAATGAAATCTTAAAACACCAGGCTAAAATTAGTTTTATGTACTGGGTAGTTTTGCTGTACAAAAATATACTGTATCTCAATAAGCTTGAAAAACCCAAATGAGGACAATCTTTTTGAGATATTAACTAATTTTGAACTATAGAGGAGTATTCCCCATACAGTCACCTTCAAAGGGAGAATCCAATCTCCTGTTATACCAAAACAATGCAACCTTGATTCTAATTCTACCTTTGCCATTAATAGTTTAGAAACTTAAAAATTAAGCCAAGTACACAATAAAAAGATTTTTTTTTAGAAGGAACACATGTTTTGTACGTCCTTTAAATTGCCAAATATCAAAAGAGTTTATTCTATTTCACTTTCTAGGGAAAACACCAACTGCTCCAAAAGAATGTGTTTTTCTCCCATTCTGGAAATCAACATGCAGTCTGAATCTAACATTACAGTGCGAGATGACATTGATGACATCAACACCAATATGTACCAACCACTATCATATCCATTAAGCTTTCAAGTGTCTCTCACTGGATTTCTTATGTTAGAAATCGTGTTGGGACTTGGCAGCAACCTCACCGTATTGGTACTTTACTGCATGAAATCCAACTTAATCAACTCTGTCAGTAACATTATTACAATGAATCTTCATGTACTTGATGTAATAATTTGTGTGGGATGCATTCCTCTAACAATAGTTATCCTTCTGCTTTCACTGGAGAGTAACACTGCTCTCATCTGCTGTTTCCATGAGGCCTGTGTATCTTTTGCAAGTGTCTCAACAGCAATCAACGTTTTTGCTATCACTTTGGACAGATATGACATCTCTGTAAAACCTGCAAACCGAATTCTGACAATGGGCAGAGCTGTAATGCTAATGATATCCATTTGGATTTTTTCATTTTTCTCTTTCCTGATTCCCTTTATTGAGGTAAATTTTTTCAGTCTTCAAAGTGGAAATACGTGGGAAAACAAGACACTTTTGTGTGTCAGTACAAATGAATATTACACTGAACTGGGAATGTATTATCACCTGCTAGTACAGATCCCAATATTCTTTTTCACTGTCATAGTAATGTTAATCACATACACCAAAATCCTTCAGGCTCTTAATATTCGAATAGGCACAAGATTTTCCACAGGGCAGAAGAAGAAAGCAAGAAAGAAAAAGACACTTTCTCTAACCACGCAGCATGAGACTACAGACCTGTCACAAAGCAGTGGTGGAAGAAATGTGGTCTTTGGCGTAAGAACTTCAGTCTCAGTAATAATTGCCCTCCGGCGAGCTGTGAAACGACACCGTGAACGACGAGAAAGGCAAAAAAGAGTCTTCAGGATGTCTTTATTGATTATTTCTACATTTCTTCTCTGCTGGACACCAATTTCTGTTTTAAATACCACCATTTTATGTTTAGGCCCAAGTGACCTTTTAGTAAAATTAAGGTTGTGTTTTCTAGTCATGGCTTATGGAACAACTATATTTCACCCTTTATTATATGCATTTACTAGACAAAAATTTCAAAAGGTCTTGAAAAGTAAAATGAAAAAGCGAGTTGTTTCCATAGTGGAAGCTGATCCTCTGCCTAATAATGCTGTAATACACAATTCTTGGATCGATCCTAAAAGAAACAAAAAAATTACCTTTGAAGATAGTGAAATAAGAGAAAAATGTTTAGTACCTCAGGTTGTCACAGACTAGGGAAACATCTAAGTTTCATTAAGCCCACATTTAAATTGTAAAAAAATGAAATTACTGCCAAATATAAGAAAAAACATTTTAAGTATTGGTTATGTTGTAAATTTTCAATGTAAATGTCAAGATTAGATTAGGTCATATATATTCAATTTCTTCATTACAATGTATTTGTTGCATGGCAGTTTGTTAAAGTAATATTGTGTATATTTTGTCAATATTATGTCCATCAGAAGATATTCATGTAAGTCATATTTTCTAAATAATAAATACATAGCCTTAAAACAGTGTATAACTTCAAAATGTAACTGACACAGGTATCCTTTTCTTTTTTTTTATGAAGTGTATTTGTTTCTAAGCCACAAACTATAGATATATTTATATAAATGACAAGCACTTTAATATAAGGGCAAAAATTATGGTCTCCAAACAAAATAATTCAGGATTTTCTATGTCACTACCTTATGTTCTCTGGTATAGTCTACCTGCTATAATATCTGATGCATCAAAAATAATGAACTATGTGTGAAACTATCTTTTTTTTTTTCTGAGTACAGAAAATTGTAGGATTTATCAGGATTTTAAAATTCAAGAACCAACAACCAACACTGTATATACACTCTAAGATAGGGAAATTTTGAAAATCAAGTTTATTATGAAAAAAGAGATTGATTTTTCTAAGATCAAGGGCACTGTGCCTATAAATATACAAATAAACTGACAATAAAGGGAAGGAAGAAAACTAAAGCACCAGCCTCTTTCTTCCTTCCTCACTTTGCTTGAGTCTAAGCCAAATGCTCTGGATTAATATACTGGTAAAAACCAGTGCATTAAAATAAACTAACTTCCTAACTTTATTCAAGTCAGCCTTTTTGAATAACAGAAGTCAACTATTAAAATCTGAATAAAAGAAAAAAAGACTTTCTATCACTGTAGAGAAGCTTCACAAAGCCAATGATTTCTAATTTTAGATACATAGCAACTTTAGAGTAATAAAATTTACACAAGGTTCCTATACTATAACTTCCAAATGTTTCAAAATACAATAGTTCTATTTCCACTCTTAAAATCATTTAAGTGGCAATAAATCTTGTCAATTTTTTTTACTCTACACCACTTAATCTAACTTTAATCTTTGTGTCTCCCACCTTCCATTTATGTTGGACAACTAGAAAATTACTAATCCTAACTATAGATAACAGGTTTGGGAATCTCATATCAAACAAATATTTTCCAACTGTTATAATCCAATAATCTATCAATGAGTGCTAATTATCACTGTATCTGAAAAAGAGCAATAAGTTACTTAAATAAGCAAATACAGTTCTTGCTACCTTATAATTAACTGTACGACTTTTTATTCTATTTTTTTAATACCGTATCCATTAAATCAAGTAACAACTCATCTTTAAATAAAACTTCATGTCAAGGAATTCAATAATATATCACTTTTGTGTAAATAAGTGAGGTTGAGATTGACCCAGTCTAGTTTACTGAATACATTAATTCTTGAGGGAAATATGCACCATGCAATAGCTTGAATTCACTGAGGATCCTGCGATATTTAACAGTGATTTATTTCTGATAATGTTAACATGTCAAATCTTGGCAAAGGAACGGTATCCTTCTGTCTTGTTTTCTACTTTTATGGAATTAAAGAAATGCTTCAATTTGACAAAATGTAGCATAAGAAAGTAAGACATTTTTCAGAACCCTGTAGAGAAATTAAGACTTTGTAGGTAAGGGTATTAAAAATTTTTTCATTCAATAAACATATTTGGCACAGAATATCTCCTAATATATCCATTAAAAAATTTTTCAGCTAATTTTATACTTAAACTTCCAAGCATAAATTATAATTGTATTTAGTTTTATAATCTTCATAAAAATTACACTATTTTTAGAATTTTCATATTAAGAGAAGACCTCTGTGTCTTAAATATTTTTAATCTTCAAGTCTATAGGCATGCCAAAGAACTCAGTTAAAAAAAATTTTTAAATATATTTGCCTAAACTGCTTTCGTGCCCTCTTATTCTCTGTAATAAGAAATCTAACAAAATAATAAATGGCAAATATTATAATGTTGCCTTCTAAATTGTTATTATTTCTGTACTTGACTCTGGAACAGACAATTAACAAGCATTTTTGCTCTCCTGTAATGAACTTTCAGGTACTTAAAATTACACCCGCTGATTTACAACAAAGAAAATTCATACCTACCGAACAATTTCTAACAGCTTTTTAATATTAAATAGTATGTAATATGTAAACCAAAATAATATTTATATTAAAGTTTCAGCTTTTGAAAACAAGTCACAAATATGCTTACAATTACTGAGTTCAGCTTAAATGAGAGAATGAGAAGCTTAGACAACTTTTTTTTAAGCATTTGTTCTATGAAAAGGTGAAGTATTTTTATTTTCCTCATGATGGGCTTCACCAAAATGTGTATGTCTTTCACTGTATTTCTAATAATTTCATGGGAAAAAATATTAATGCCAATTTTTCATCTTAGAATGAAAACTGTAAATGCAAAAGCAATAGAGGTAACAGTAAACTCAATATGGGAGCCTTCTTAAAATGATATTTTTTCCCACCCATATGCCACAAATCACAGACACAGGCATCAATTTATATACAATTAATGGGGTTAGTTCTTCAAAACCACAGAAGAACTATTATTTTAAAAACTAACCAAACCTCAATAAGATATGGAACACTCATTGCTTGCTAATTCCAAGAGGTCATTAGTCTGCCAATTAGTCCCAACAGATGTTCAAACCTATTATGAAAATTTAAGAATTTACAATTATGCTTTTTAAAAATGCCATCCATAATATTTCTGTACTTCTCACCATGATAAGCCAATTTTTAGGTACGTGGCCTATTTGTCTATTTTTTAATCCCCCAAATAAAATGATAGCAAAATCTAAGTTCTCTGGGCATTAAAAATCAAACTCCTCATTTACTGAGATTAGACTGAAAGGTGAAAACCAGAAGATAAGGAAACAGGTGCTTAATCAGGCTTTAGTCAACACAGTAATTTGAAGACTACTTTCCAAAGTCAATAAAACATTTAGTTTCATTACAACTTGATTGTACATTTAAGTAAGCTTTGTAATTCAATTAATATTTGAATCCTTACAATGTAGAAGGCACTATGGCAGATACGCTTATTCATATGGAATAAAGTCATTACCCTGGAAACTTAACCTAGAATCAAGGTAGTTAAAAGTCTGGCAATACCTGCTAAAAGGCAGAATGCAGTAAATACTACTAAAAAAAAAAAAAAGCAACCTTCTTAATAAACTTAAGAAGAAAGGAATTATGTTGGATTTAAGAACAATATAAATAAAAGCACTGTTGAGGAAAGCTACTGAAGCAGATCTGGAAATGGTAAATTGTTCTCTTTAGAAGAAAAGTAATATAATAGTGAGAAGTTGATCTGCTAAGTTAAAGTGGGTCCAAAAACAGAAAGAAGGCTTTAAATACCAGCAGAGATATCTGAGCAATCAAATACTTAAATTGTTTTCTATTATAATCAAATAATTTGAAGCTACATTTCAAGACCATCTTGAAAAAGGTAAGGTAACTTGTCAAATTGTAAGACAGGTTATTTTTCTAAATGGGAGAAGAAGCAAGGAAAAAGACATAATGTATTTTTTTTTCCTTTTCACTAAATAAGATGAGAAAGAAAAAAAACTAAAGAAAACTTGTGGAGCTTATTTTCTTTACATCTCAGAAAAGTACACTTGTATGTACTCCTTGTGAATGTAAGTAATCTCCCTATGGGACAGCAGTGAACTCAAGAAAGCTAAACATGAGATGACTAATAATAAATGTTAGGGGAAAAGGGAGCTTGGGCCATATTATAAAAGAGGGAAAAAGGAGGTAATTAAACCTAGACAAGGTGGGAAAAAGATCTAAAATACGCAGAGATGCTGAGCTCTTAGAGAAATAAAATGGGAATACAGCATTGTGGGTTAGAGTTCACAGAAGAAAACTACCTTGAAGATTTTTTCTAAAAAGCATTCAAAAAGATGAAAAAGCAATTTTTTTAAAGAAACCCCAGTTAAAAAACTGGGCAGATTAGTAATATAATAACATTTTTCACGATTCAAAGTAGAATACAAATTAGGATGTTACAACAACTCATAAACGTTTGGAACAGAGGGGTACTGAGATGGAGAAGTAAATGGAAAACTGGGCTCATCTTAATATGAAAACTTTCACCTTTTAAAGAATATTCAATTTTTGCAGGAGAGAAAGAGCTGAGCAAACTTAAACAATATTTATCCCCTTGCTCATGATAAAATAATGTGTGAAAATAATCCTAAGTATCTCTACCCTTCTATTCACACATTTTTTTTTAACAGACCTCCATAAGCTGTAGCCATGGCTTTCAAGCATGACAGCTTTGTACTTCCACCAGCAAGTGGTAAAAAGTGCTGTCATTCCTGTCACTGCCACCAATATCAACTCCCACCACTATCAAACCCTGAAGCATCAAGTAAGATAAAGGAGGAGAGCTGAGTCTATCTGGGATTGAGGTCATTTTCCTCACCCTGCTTCCATGAAAGTAGTATGTCATATATTTCTGAGAGGCATTAAGCAAGGCAGACTACCAAAGCACATCTACCAATTTTTCAAGGCAGAAAGTAAAAGGAGCAAGAGAATCTTAATTAATCTTATTAAGATCATAGATAACTGCTTTCCACTCAGACAGCTATGGACATACAATACTAATAACAGATGCAAAATGAAAATTTTTTAATTTAACATAAATTTTTAAAAATGTTAATGCTAACAAATGAGAGTTCTGACATTAGACACAGACTAGAAGAGTGAGAAACATAGGAGACTGACATATATATATATATAGCACATCCATTAATATTACACACAATCCCACCTGTCATATACTTCATACTGTGTGTATATTGTATATTGGTTATCTACCCAAAGATACGCATTTCACTCTAAAATTGCTAATGTCTTTTTTTTTTAAGATTTTATTTCTTTATTTGACAGAGAAAGACAGAGCAAGAGAGGGAACACAAGCAGGGAGAGTGGGGGAGAGAGAAGCAGGCTTCCTGTGGAGCACAGAGACCAATGTGGGGCTCGATCCCAGGACCCTGGGATCAGGACCTGAGCCGAAGGCAGATGCTTAACAACTGAGTCACCCAGGAGCCCCTAAAATTGCTAATGTCTTAAAACAGGCTGAAATGTAACATACATTTAGACATTGTAGACATTACATAGTCTACATTTTAACATTTTACCCAATTAATAAAAAAATGTAGTCTTTCTTCTGCTATTAAATTTTTTCCAACTGTCACTTGTTATAAGCAACAAAATGCTAGCAAACTATAGCTACCTAACTTTATAAAACTGTCTTTAATCCCCCCAGTACAATAAGAGTCTATAATACTACTGTAACCTTTGTAACCAAAAAGTGCCTGATACATACCAACTTCTGAGTAAATATTAGTGAAATTGAAGTCAACAATTTTT